TATTACACACACACACACACACATATATATATACATACATCAATACAGATAAAACATTAAGATTTATATTCCACTAAGTATTTCCTGAATTTATTTTAATAAATTTCTATATGAAATCTCATTTTTAAGTGCATTTGCATTATCTTCAGCATGTTTAACTTCAGCAGTTGTTATTGTCAGCAAACCACAGTAGTCACTTCTTACAACAGAACCATTTGGCTGAGTGCCACAAAATTCGGTGTTCTTTATTGCTCTAAACCTGTCAAGGAAATTTTATTTTTCAGCTGCACTGGTCTAGTATGCTAACAATGATGAACATCCCACTAAATGAATTAAAAAACTATCTGATTGTGATAGAACTGGAGTTGTTAACCTACATATGTCAGCCTGCATTTGTTTGTGCCATGATGCTTTTCCAGCATTGTTCCAGAGTGTTTTAAGTTTTTCAAATTATTTATTTTTATATTATGTTTTTCTTCTAAAATTGTCTTGATATTCTTTGTTCACATGCATAGTATTCACTATGCTAATTCCACGACCAATTCCTTTGCCAGTACTCTTATATGAATGAATTTTCTCGTTGTTAATGTTCCCAACCAACTTAACTACATGAGGACAGGTTTAGAAGTGGTGGCATGTTTTGTATTGCCAAACTCCATTCAGTGCCATTGTTTCATCTAAACTGAAAGATGGCAGTGACAGTGATGAGCACTGTGCAGCCCCTCTCCACCCCATTCACGGTGAACCAGAAGAGGATATTAATTTTGTTTCTAGGAGTTGTGACCATCAGCGTTGGGTGTCTTTTAAGTCTTTTAACTGAAAAGGAATTTATACTGGTGAACATCATAGTCAAATGAGTAGCAACAGTGCATCATATTAGGTTGTGTGCCAGACCCTGATCTTGATCCTCAGACCGATTCTTCTGATATATATATATATATATATATATACACACACACATATAGGGGGATGCGGTAGCATAGTTGGTTGAGGCACTATGCTACAAACTGGAAGGTTGTGGGATCAAATCCCGATGAGGTCATTGGATTTTTTTCAATTGACCTATTTCTTCCAGCCCCACTATGGCCCTGGGGTCGACTCAGCGTCTAACAGAAATGAGTACCAGGAATATTCCTGGGGTTAAATGATGGCTAGCGCGTAAGGCTGACAGCCTCACCGCCATCTGTGAGCTGATTATCTAGAAAATGTGGGGACCTCAACGTCTCACAGCCGTGTGGGCCTCCACAGCCTGTTACAGGGATACCTTTACTTTTTTTTTTTACTTTATACAATTGAGTGGGGAGGGGGATTTTCTCATCCAATACAGGCATCTGCTGATATAGTAACTCAAGTAGGGTCATGACTGCTACTGAACCACTCATAAATACATAATTTATGCTGTCGAGAAGAACAACAAGAACAATAACAATTGAAAGGTTTCCTTTCTTTGGGATTGAGAAGATAGAATGTCTCTTGCTGAAATACTGCACAACCCTACTTCAGGCCTTTTAAAATATGCAGGCAACAGGAACATGACACTGTCATAATTGTATTGGTGACAGAGAAACTTTGGGTATAAACTCTTAATACTGTTTCATTGAAAACAAGAACATTATCAACTTCAGAAGTTACAGACGTTTATTGTATGATGTAATAATATTAGTCTAGACAGCTGTGGAAGGTCTGATAAACACAACAGACTTCACTCAAGACAGTCAATCTTTCAACCAGAATGTGAATCAGGCATGTCTGAAATATCTGAAAAATAGGAATAGGTCCTATTATACCATGACATCCGGCCAGCAAGTTGAGTAACAGACAGCAACAAGTCAGTGGCAGTTGGTACATTATTAGAGTGTCATGCTCTAAAGCTTTTGGATGCTTGAAGAGCTATTGTTGCTAACTTAATGCAAATCATTTACTCCAAAAGATGTTTGATCATGATATAATAATCACTTTTGCACAAGTTCCTCTTTTTAAAATTACTGTCTTGCCCTAGAGAATACTGTGAAGTCAGTTTTACCACACTTCATGATGGTGAACTGTATGAAGGTTTGTTTAATGTTTAGTACTTCTTCAGTTATATTTACAGTTTATATTGTTTTGATAGCTGCCTCTGTCAGAAATTCAGTGTTAGCATTTCACTATTGAAATATGTGCTGTTCATATTCCATCTCATTGAACTTATAATCTATTATTTCTGTCTATAATGCAACAAATTCGTAGCACTGATTCACAAATGTGAATCAGTGTTATTAATTTGTTGCATTATAGATGGAAATAATAGACTATAAGTGAGACCTCAATGCAACAAGATGCTCAAATATATCATCTCATTGTAACTAAGGTTATGCAGAAAGAATATAATCATATGCTTTAATGAGAGGTGAAATTTTCTACTAATTTAACATTACTCTTGGCCCATTCTGCCTTATTCACATGGGTGCTTATAAATGACAGCAATTTATAGACCAGCTAACATTGTCCAACAAATTTCTAGCCTGAGGAAGAATGTAAAGAAAATGCCATTTATTAAATTTTCCCCTTCCAGTTTCCTAAACAGTACTTGTGGCAATAGCACATACTCACAAGAAGAGTAGCATTTTAATAATTTCATTCATTCATCAGTAATCTGTCAGACAGCAGGTCCACAGTCTCTTCCAAAACAGTTCCTCCACTTAATGCGATCTAGAGCTTTCTCCTTCAAGAGAATCACATTGGATAGAAAGAATTATACGCATAAAACTCTGTACTGTAAAGAGGGCTTATATACAATACACTTGAGAGAAAGTGTCAAAAGTGTAAATGTATTTTCATATAGTCAAGAACACATTCTATGGAAAATATTGGTTCCTTGACGTTGTAAACATGAACTGACAAATGCCGTTGCAACTGACAAAATCTTATCATCATCCAGAAGGCTGCATACTGAACAGATGGATAAAAGTCATTTGTTGAATGTAGAGGTTTGGTGCACCAGTATGCCTGTATTTTGAATAATTTTGCAACATATTATTTTAGTGCTGACATGGTGTAATTTTTTTTTCTTTTTTCTTTATTTTTAACATATATACATTTTGTATTCTTGTATTTGCTTGCCAGTGAAATTTGTTTGACCAACTATGTTTTATGCAAGAAACTCAAATATTAACTAGAGCTTGATCATATTTAAGTGGTCAAGATATTTCTGTAATTTTCTACGATAGAAATCCTTTGCATAATATTTTGATGGCAAGTTGTCCATACTTATGAATTCTGATAAAGAACTTCTGTGCCATTTTATTATAATATTTTGTGGTATTCCATTAATGCAACAGCTGAAGTGAATGTCCAAATTAATCACAGGAACCGAAACTAGTTTCTCAAATTGTAAATGAAGAATGTCTATCAGATGTGCTGCAACATTTTTAATCTGAGGCACTTTGTTTAGCGTTGTATTGTTTAAAAACCTCAGAGGATTTGTTTTATGGTTCAGGAGTTATTTTATGTGGTTATTTTGTTTTGTTCCTATAAACATTGTCTTCTTTCAGTCATTAGTGGGTCTTATGTATATTATATCATTGTGATGATTGTTTCCACTGTAGTTATATTTATTTATACATATGCCAGTAACATATTATAGATGTCATTTGTGAATATTATACAAAAAATAGTTTCAAGAGAGAACTATTAATTTTTAATAATAGTTCTGATCAATATACTCCATTTATGTAAAAAGAGTACCATATTCTTTTTTGATTCTTATTTCCTACAGTTACTAGCGTTACACCCATTGAGGAACAGCAGGAGGTCTTATCATTTGTTGTGTAAGCTTTTGTGCCATGAACTTTACACTTCTTATATCCACATCAAGATATTATCAGTACTCACAGAATAGACATGAAACAAACAAAATACTTCATGCTCCTTTGTGACCTGCTTTATAAATAATGTTCATGCAGTCTGCTAACGTGAAATTGCATAATGACAATTACAGATCTCGCACACAAATTTTTGTGCACATGGAATAACAGTATGGGAAGTTCCTCATTTATTCAGTAGAACCTGGAAGTTATGGAACCTTTGTTTCTGCTACTAGTAACAAAAATTGTAAGGCCACGCCATAGCTCAAGCAGTTAGTCGCTGGCTTCCCGGGTTCGATCCCGGGTCTGGTCAAGTGGGATTTGTGGTGGACAAAGTGGCGCTGGGGCGGGCTTTCTCCGAGTACGTCGGTTTCCCCTGCAAATCTTCATTCCACCAAATTCTCCATCATCATAATCACCCAGGGCAGGTACAATAGGCCAATCAGTGGCTGCTGTGCTAAGTGAACCCAGTTGGACTCCACCCTCTACTAAGTGAAAAAACAAAAATTCTAGATGTATTTGATGTTACATAATGGAATTTCAGGGCTGTATGCTTCTTGGATTCTGCTTAATAACTGGAATACCCACATGAATTTTTTTTTTCCATTGGTGCTACAGCCCTCATTTGGGCCTAGGCCTACCTCCATGAAACTCTCTGTTCCACTCCGGTTTACTAGATCTGAGACATACAGTAGGACTCCTTGGGCGAGTGATCAACTCGTCGCAAGGCCTCTACCAGTACACAAACACAGAAAAACGCACATACACAAACACCAAACATCCATGTTCTGAGTGGGATTTGAACCCACGATCCTGGCTTCCGAGCGAGGGAGGACAGTGCATGCCTTAGACCGCTCAGCTACCGTGACCGGCGCCCAAGTGAATATAGTTCCCTGCATACATATATGAAACAGTCTGTTGAGAAACATACCCGCTTGGAAGAGGCATCATCCTTGTCATCTCGTCCTAACCTTCCTTTACCTTATTAAACTAGTTTCCTAACTATACCCGAATTTGTTTTAATGGACAATGTTTAAAGTGTCCATGATTTTCTGGGAAAAAGCACTGTTTAATGTTCTAAGAACATTTTAAATAACTGAGAAAGAAGTTCTTTTTAACTTGTACATTACACCATATCCTTGGTGTTTCTGTTGTCAGCAGTGCGAGGGCAGCATCTCCAGGCCCCAACTCAAGACTTGTATTGCCACATTCACAGTTACAGCAACTCCAAAGATGTTGAAGCATGTGAGTTGACTTTTGTTGCTGTGCTTTATGTTACTCCAGGCATGACATAGTTAACATGTATATGTCTAAAAACTATGTATGTGTAGTGTTCTCATGTCTTTTAATCTGCTAATTATTTCAAACATCAGATTTTGCTCTTTTGGCATGTTGATCCAGTGAACATCAAGTATCAGAGCTGAATCCATGTTCTCTGCATACAGGTACAGATTTTCTGACTTGGCAAATTGGTGTATACCAGTGGTTCCCACTTCTTGAACCTCATCCCTAAAAGAAAAAAAAAAGAAAAAAAAAGAAAAAAAAGTAAAGCTATCCCTGTACCAGGCCGTGAGGCCCATAGGGTTGTGAGACATTGAGGGTCCCACATTATCTAGACAATCGGCTCAAAGATGGCAGTAAGGTTGTCAACCTTACCCACCGGCCACACTTTACTCCCCAGGAAAATTATTTAATTAATTCTTGGTACCCATTTCTGTTAGAGGCTGAGTAAACCCCAGGGCCATAGTGTGGCTGGAAGGATTAGGTCAATTGGAAAAATCCAATGACCTCATCGGGACTTGAACCAATGACCGTCCGGCTTGTAGGATAGCCCCCCCATCCCTGAAAGTGCTGATCTAAAACTCTTTGTGCAGTTTGTCTTTAAGAATCTCTCCCCGAAATCCTCCCCCCCCCCATCCATGCTGTCAGGCTTATGTGGAGCCCCACGAAACGTTTATCTCCAGAAAGGAAAATAGACTAGCTATGCATCTGATTTACATAACTAAAATATACCATGACTTACTTTTACTTTACTTTTTCTAACAGAATTTGCATTCCACATCCTTTTTGTACAATTATGTTGGAACTCAATAATGTGCTGTGAATCATTTTGTGTAAAAGTTCACAAACCACACACTACTAACCACTGGTATATGCCAAGTGATAAATAGCTACATAGAATAGAGAATTTCGCTCCTTTGTCACCAAAATAATTTGCTGTGAAAAAGACCCAGATGTTTATTCTTCAGTAGTGTGTTTCAGCCCCTTTAGTTATTTGTCATCTAATGTACATATTGGCGTTGTGTTCACTTGTACTTAGTGTATGAGTATATAACCCAGTGAATCCAAGAAGGTGTGAAACTACTACAAAGCCTCCAGAAAGAAACAGCATTCCAATGAATGTCTTCACTTTATAGTACAGAAGGCAACAAATATGGAGATATCTTAAAAAGGAATTGGTTGGGTGACAGTACACTAATCAGACAACTGAAAGTTACATATGTTTTCTGACCATCAAAATTGGTTATTGATAAAAATGTTTCAAACAACAATATCAGAAGAAAACAAAACAAAAAGCAACAAGAACACACATTGGAATATCCAGTTGAACAACATTACGCTTCACTGCGCTCCTGCTTAGATTATCCATCTACTGACTCCCACACTGTGCTCTGGATGCACATTATATGATATGGACATCATTAATGTAAATGTCAAGTCATGCTCAAAATAAATGTTGATCTGCACTGTGCTATGGCATGTAAGGAAGCAAATGAGGGGTAACACAAGAGCCTGAGCCATAGCAGCAGCATACCATATTAATGTTATATCTTCAGAATGAATGCAAGTGTACCAAAAGAACTTTCCATATCAAACATATATTGTGGAGGGAATCAACTTGTGTTCAGTTTGCTTCTGCAGTTAATGCACACATAGTCACTTATTAATGGATCAGTCATTAAAAAGGTATCCATATTACATTTAGTTTATTCAGTCACAAAAAGTTGCAATGGCAAGAAATCTGGGAATGTTCATTTATGCATGAGATAGGAACTTTAATTAATTACATTAACATTTTCACTGTAAAAAATTTGCAGTGCTGTAACTTCCAGGAATATACAGATGAAACACATAGAAGACAGGTGAAAATTGAGTTACATTGAGTAGTTAAAAGTAAAAGTAAACTGATCAACCAAGTGCCTAGTCTGAGAGATGAAGCCTGAACTTAAAGGCTGAGGATGTAGTTAAGCTCTGTTTGGTCAGAGCCATTACTTAAGACAGGAGTTGGTGACAGATGAGTATGGATCAATGGTGGTATGTGGAATGATAATTCGCAAGGGAAACCTGAAGGATAAACTGCTCCATTGCCACTTCATCCACAGTGAACCTCATGGAGTTACCTGGGATTGATTCCAAAGCTGTGTAGTGAGAAGCCAGTATTTAACAACAGCTGAGCTATGACTTTAACATGAGTAGTAAATTTAAGAGTAAATTCTTTATATCTAACTCATGGAGCAAGCCCTCTGTGAGAAACTAATAGTCACTTTGCTGGTATACAGTTTTATACAGAGGCAAAACTAAATTTCATAAAAGATGCCATTCTGATGGACTGCATGTGGTATATGACTGGTAATGTATTTTAAAATATTTGCAATACATCAAAAATTACTTTACTCAACTTGTAATACATGCAGGTCTATATATATATATATATATGTTTGTGTGTGCATGTGAAGTGAGACATACAATCATGAAATTGGTTTTATACTTGTTCATACTAATGACATATTTTTTTCCTGTGGATAGAGTCCAAGACAGCAGTTGCACTTCCATTTAAATAAATAGTCTGACCTGTTGGTCACATAAGATTTTCAAAAGACATGAAATGTCACCTCCATCATCATACAGAGAGAACCATTATGCATCATATTATAGGGTGTACAGCCGTTGCTATGCAACGGCCATTGTGTTGTCCATGCCAAGATGTTATAAACAAGGGACAAAGTGAGAAGAGAGTTCAGTTCTGCATGGGATGCTGTGAAGGGAGGACCTAAGCCTGTGAAGCTGTTATAAGCCATTGCCAGGGAACGGCTGGTAAAGACAATCACTTACTCATTCATGGAGCTGACCCTTTCTTGAGAAGCTGCCAATTATGCAGCTATTCAAGAACTTCCCAGCATTTTGTGGAACCCAAAGGTTCATTACCATGTTCACAAAAGCCTTCCACTGGTCCCTATCCTGAATCAGATCGATCCAGTCCATAACATCCCATCCTATATCTCTAAGAGCCATTTTAATATTGTCCACCCACCTATGCCTTGGTCTTCCCAGTGGTCTCTTTCCATATGGCTTTGCCACCAGTATCCTATATGCATTTCTCCTCTCCCCATTCATGCTACATATCCTACCCATCTCAGCCTCCTTGACTTGATCATTCTAATTATACTTGGAGAACAGTGCAAGTTATGAAGCTCCCCATTATGAGGTTTTTTCCAACCTCCTATTCTTGAACACCCTCAGTCTATGTTTCTCCCATAACGTCAGAGACCAAGTTTCACGCCCATACAGAACCACAGGCAAAATTATAGTTTTGTATGTTCTAATGTTTATGTTTATGGACAGCAGACAAGAAGACAAAAGGTTCTGGACTGAATGGTAGCAAGCATTACCAGAGTTCAGTCTCCTCTTTAATTTCCTCCTGAATCTGGTTTTGATTAATTATCATTCCCAAATATCTGAACTGTGCCACATTTTCAAAATATCTGTTACCTATCTTTATGTCATAATTTTGCCCTGCATTTTGGTGATGAGATAGCAACATATACTTAGTTTTCTCTGTGTTTACTTCTAGACCAATCTCCTTACTTGCATCAATTAAAGTCTGTGTGTTTTTCTTTATGGTATCTGTATTATAACCCAGTAGATTTAAATCATCAGCATACACCAGCAGCTGATGTGTCCGATTTAATTTCAGTCCCACCTGGTTTTTGTGAACCTTCCTCATGGCATATTCTAAAGAAAAGTTGAAAAGGAGTGGCGATAAAGCATCTCCTTGTTTTAGCCCATTCTGGATAGGGTAATTATCAGACAAATGTTTACCTTGTGTAGGATCTGAAACTTCTTGAGGTAGCAGATATTTTACAAATATGCAACTCTCTAAAGGTAATTGTTTTGCAGAATGTAAAACAACTATAACCAATAAATCATTTTTCAGATGCACATTAAAAACATAACAACAAAAGCATAAGATACCCATGTCAGTCACAGAGTAAATTGTAATTTATGGGCAGTACTGGAAATGCAATACCAAGTGTTTTTTTGTTTTGTTTTTTTAGTTTTGTAGTTTTCTGAATTTGTATTTACACTGATATCTTCAAGAAATATGCAGGTTACATAAAGGCTGTAATGAGCATGAGAATATAAGAAATATGAAAGATTTATATTTCTGATGAAGTCAGAATCCATGGCTGCACATCATTTGTGTCTGATAAACCAACACAATCTACCAGACATCTTAATAAAACATTCTAGTTTAAACATGTGGAAGAATATGTCCTACAGAAGAAAGCAGTCTTCTGGGATGTGGCACCATGTAGATGTGGTGTTAACTGACCTTTCAGAGGAACGTATCGCTTCCATCTTCAGGGTTCTTCTGTTCTCACTGTCTCTTTGCTTGCTGATTTTCTTATTTTTCCTTCTACCCTGAAGATGGAGGTTCCTCCAAAACATTGGTTAACACCACATCTACACAGTGCCACATCCCAGAAGACTGCTTTCTTCATAGTGACCGCCCTAAAAACCTCAAATCTTACATGTATCCTATAATTTGTGTTCTGCTGTAAGGAAGGAAAGAAAAAACTCTATTGTGAAGTGTGTACTGCTTTCATATGTGAAGCATCTTTCCACTGCTGGAAATGTACACATCTCCGATCCCTTTTCCAAGCAGGACTGAACAAACTTTATGTCATTATTAATATATTATTTTCTTTTTTCAGTTGAAGATGGATTGCTTGAATACCAGTTTTCTCACAAGTAAAGGAGGCTTTTGAGAAGTACACATAGCATTCATGCAGGATGAAGACTTAGAGGAAAACAGTTACTGCAGCTACAACTGTTTTTATTGAAAATCTGAGATACTAGAACTATATATTTATATTAACATTAAAATCCCAGAAATACAGAGTGGAGGGCAGAAACTTCCTTTTTTGAAGGTGAATAAAAGAAAAATTATTGCTGATAGACAAAATTTATGTTTAGCTAATGAAAGAACATACTTTAAAGTTTTAAATTATGTAGTTTTAAACAAAATATCTTGAAGGTGGTGGCCACCGTTCTCTATGCACTGATGCAACCGTTTTCTGAAGTTCCGCTCTACACATTCCAACATGTACACCGGAATTTGGGCTAGTTCCTGCCGAATAACATTCTTCAGCTGAAGCAGGTTTGTGGGGCGATGTTTAAAAACCTCTACCTTGAGGTATCCCCATAAAAGAAAATCACAGGTCATTAGATCAGGTGAGTATGCTGCCCATGGGATGTCACCTCGAAGCGAGATGAGCCATCCAGGGAAATTTGCCCTCAAAACTGTCATCGAAGCTCGGGCTGTGTGGGCCATGGCACCATCCTGTTGGAACCAGACATTTCCTAGATGCATTTCTTCAAGAGCTGGTTCGAAAAAGATCTCAAAATCGACTGTCGGCTGCCTCCACATTTTCTGGCATTGTAATGGTCCGTTGTCGTCCTGATGATTTTTTCACCACACTCCCAGTTGTCCTAAAGTTCTCAACCCTCAAAACAATCGATTTTCGGTCGGGAACCGGACCTCTGGACTTAATTCCGAAGTGAGTACCAAACGCACGCTGCACCACCACGTAGGAATGGTTGTTTGAAAAATAGGCTTCGACAGCAAATGCATGCTGCTCGCTCGTCCACCTCATATTTCCTACTGAGGGGTATTAGACAGAAACTTCTGCAACTGCTGCATTCGCCGAGCCTATCCCCACTTTTCTATGACCCCCCCTCCCTTCACAATGCGTCTTCACAAAAAGGAAGTTTCTGCGCCCCATCCTGTATATATTTAAGAAAAGATATATATATATTAGTTTTACTTCTTCATATGTGTGGCAGTTTGCAAAACCACTCTCCTCCTTTCTTTTTAATGGAAAAATGTCAGCATGATTGTATAAATTTTCCAGATGTGTGTAAATACTTCTTGACATTTTAGTGCTTCAGAAATACCTCTTTCAAGGCATTTCTTGAAAAAAAAAAGAAGGTATTTTTGATTTCATTAAAGATAAGAGAAAGCATGGAATCACGAACATACAAGGTAAATAGTAAAGAAGAAAGAGGACCATGGAAATGTTTTAAATAGGATTTTGACAGCAGTAGGCGTGAAGAAGGCAAAGGAGTAAAACTCAGTGAACATAAGTAACTACAGTAAAACTTGGTTATAGCAACATCGGTTTCTGTGACACCTTGTCTATTGCGTCAAATATTCAATGGTACGAACTAATTCCTCATAAAGCAACTGTTTTTATACCTTGCTTAGTACGACATGCACCAATGCATCAACCTCGTATGTAACGTCATTTTCATTCCTGAATTTCTCTGATATCGTGGGAAAGTTCGATGTGTCTGCCCACCCTCACTTTCTCTACTTGCTGACGTGACTGTCCTGGAAGAATACAACCGCGGGCTGCAAGAGGAGCGTGGGTTTTATGCAAAAACAAGGGTGTGGGGTGGGACTGCGTGAATAGTGCAAGAGGACGCGGCAGGTTGTTAACTGCATTCCTTTCCTATAATCTCGTCTAACAGGACCTCACATTGTCTACTTACCCTATAATGTTCCTGCCTAAACCCAGAGAAGTGCAGTAGCAAAAACATGGCAATGAAAAGGAAAGTTTTAAGCATTGAAGAGAAAGTTAAAGTGATTCATGAAATAGAAAATGGAAGGAAAAATGCTGATGTATGCCGCGAATTTGGTTTGGTGAATTCTACAGTACAAACAATATGGAGAATCCATATTAATTCCACGTTAATGTTACTTTAGTCTGTATTTAACTACGTAATTCACTAAAAAATGCAACATTTTAATTCAGTTGTTGGTAGATTTTTACGTGACTAACATAAGGCTACTGTGGAAGTGCCCATTTCGGTTACAACGACATTCGTTTATAACGACACTATTTTTAGGTCCCTTTGATGACGTTATAACCAAGTTCTACTGTATATACAGAATATTACCTACATAAGTATTTCCAGAAATTCCTGACACTGAAACAGATTCTCTTGAAGAATGACAAGCAGCCTGATTGTGACTGGCTATGGACTGCATGTACAGGGTTGGATTCCTGACATAGACAGGGATTTTTTTTATCTGTCACCAAGTCTAGACCTGCTTTGGGTTCACCCTGCCTTCTATCCATTAAGTACCTCGAGTAAACAGCCAAAGCATGAAGCTAATCATCCACATCCACCTAACGGTGAGGTTAAGAATGCTAGGAGCTGTACCTTCACTCCCCCATACATCTTCATGGTGTGGTACTTAATTATGCACAGGTAAAAAAGGTAAAGTTGTCCCTGTGCTTAATTAATTAAGCACTATGCCATAAAGACATATGGGAGATCCACATTTTCTTAACCTCGGCACTAGTTGGAGGGGAGTGGTCAGCTTCACGCCCTGGCAGCTTTACCCCCAGGGAAAGAGCCAGCAGTACCCATTGGAAAGGAGGCTGGGTGAGCCCAAGAACCAGTCTGGACAACAGGGAGACGAGAAAATTCTTGACCCTACCGGGACTCGAACTCTGACCCTTCTTGTCATCAAGCTCATACATAGCCAGTCACTCTACTGACTGTGGTATCCCTGCTCCAAATCATGCAAAGGAACACATTTAATTAGCAAGAACATTTTTATGAAAGTGTGCAATGATACTGTGTACAAGCACTTCCATTTATGAAACACAAAAATGGAAGCTAAAGTTTTTTAATTAAAAATGAAAACCATAATAAAAACATTTTAAGTTAAACGTCTTCTGGACACGGACACAGACATATTAGTTTTGTGTCATTAGCATTATAGTCAATAGGCACCACTACTGCCATGTATATCAAGAAGCAGGCTAATATTTTATACAGGTCTTGTTTCTGTTTAACTCTCCAATAGAGTTGTTCTTCGAAGTTGGTGACTTAATGACACTGTCAGTATTAAGACCATATAGAATCAATGACAGGTTGAATATTAACTGTGGGGAAGTTTGAAGAATGAGAATTGGTGGGCAAACTGAAGAACTTGGAGAAAACCTGTGCCAATGCTACTCTGTCCACCATATATCCCATATGAACTGACCTGGGATTGAACCTGGGCTGCTGTGTTGGGAAGCGGGTAACAAATGCCTGAATTATGGAACGGCCTTTTTTAATGCAGTACAGTGGAACCTTGCTTAATGAGCACCTCTCATAACGAGTAATTTGTATAATGAGCAAAACAAATTGTAAAAACATGACTCGCTTAACGAGCGACGTTCCACATAACGAGTGACAAGAGGGGAAGTCCCGGATTGCGCACTTGCTATGTCAGTCTGTGTTTAGCACTTGTTCCGCTAGCATCTTAGTGTCGCTTGTGATCACATATTTTTCGAAACTTGTGTTCATACATATTATTTGTGATTCTTTTTGTGCAAAGTTTAATAACCCTTGCAAAAATGTCCCCGAAGAAAAAGCCGCAAGAAGACAGCCATTAGAGAATAAAAATAACCGTAGAAATGAAATGTAAAATCATTGAAAAGCCAGAACGAGGTGTGAGCGTGGCTGTTCTAGCACGCACATACAATTGGTCTACATCAACGATTTGCATGATTTGGAGTTGCACTGTGTTTCACAGCAAGAAGTTGTGGAGGAGAGTTTGTCAGAGGAGGAGGAGGAGGTAGCAGCAAAGCAACAATCTTCTAGCACAATAAGAGAAATGCTGAAAGCATGGGAAACTGTTGCATTGTACGTTGAGAAGCATCACCCTAATAAGACAGTGGCTATGCGCGCCACAAATTCATTTAATGATAATGCTGTGTCGCATTTTCCCAAATTTTGAAGTGTCGACAAAAACAAATGTCTCTAGACAGCTTTCTAGTAAAGATGAATTAGATATGTATCATAAATAATAAACTAATTATTTCTATTTTTTTTTTTTTTTTTTGCAAATCAAATTACCATTCCAGGTTGGTTCATTCCGCATAGAAGAAAAGATGAAGATGATTCACACTCCTTAACCCTGTATATATAATTTTATTTGAATAAACGTTATACATAAAATTGTTTGAGTATTTTTTTCGGCATGGAACACAGTATCGTATTTTACATTAATTTATATGGGAAAAATTGTTTCACATAACGAGTGTTTCGACTTACGAGTAAGATTTTGGAACGAATTATGCTCATTAAGCGAGGTTCCACTGTATTTCATTAGTATCCAGGGTAAAAGTAACTGTTTTATGTGGAAGGTATTGAAGCTGACTGAAGAGAAAAATTCTTTTCTGGTCTGTAATGAGTGTGATAAGACAAATATTTCTTCATGCATCTAGTAAGGTACTGTTTTCAAATAATATATGAATTAATATATGAATTTACCAATGTAATTACAATTATTTTAATTCTTTGATATGACACAATGTGTGATCAAATTCCAAACCATTATCAGACCAGCTAATTACTAAAACACTTTTAGCTGTATTGTGTATACTGGAGTTTGTACAATAATGCTGTGTAATTTGTAAATTAAAAGTACCACAGTACTGCGGGTCAAATACAAGCAATGTTGATGTAGTAGTAAGTACAGAGAAATTATACTCATTTTCATATATTAAGTAAAAGTACCCTGCTATATGGTTTGTGCGTTTCATGATTTATGATTCAGTAAAGCACTATCATCTCTTCAGTTACTATTTGAACTAACCGTCACTCACTGGTTCCTTTAGAGATCAGTAAGGTACCTGTATAGACCAACCAACAAATCAGTTTCTAAATTTCAGGTTCCACCCAACCTTCCAAAATCTTCTGATGGAAAAGGAAATTTTCCAAACTGAACAAATAATTATAACCAGTGGCTTTGTACTAACAGTACTGTTGGAAACAAAAATTATGTAACTATGGAGGTCCATGACTCCCTGGCTGCAAACATGAAATCAGGTAGTAGTTGCTATTAGTGACCAGAGAGTGAGTGGTGCAGCTTTTATATTTTGATTTTTGAGTAACGCCATGCTTTTTCTGTA